TAAAACTCAACTTAAAATTTAAAATTTTATCTTATTAAATATTAATATTTAAATTTAAAAACTTATTAATATTTTAAATTTTTTAATATAAATTAAATTTTTAATTTTTTTTTATTCAAAACTGATTCCTATTAATTTCATAATATATGATATTACAAATGTATAATCTCACCTCAGGTGCTAACTATAACATTTTCCTTTTGGATTCACGAAAAATCTCATCTTAGTGCTGTTTGGGCAGACTAGTAGAGCATTGCCTGTTTGGGCCCAGCGTTACCATGTTAAACTTGTGGACCTCAGCTTTGTGCTGTGTGTGCTAGCAAACCCAAAGCTTTACATATTCCAGACACCCTAGCTAAATTGCTCAGGCCCAATTTTGAAATAAAATCCACCAAGAATTTGGCGAAGAAAAGAAAGATATTAAAATCCTCTTTCTTATACTGCAAAGGGGTTAATTTAATAAATCATTTATTAATTTTTATAATTTTTTCAATTTTATCTATTATTTTTAAATTCTTTTAATTTTATATATTATCTTTCATATTTATTTCAATTTCATATAGTCTGTTCTCTTTAACGAAAATGTAACGAAAATCTTTTTAGAATAAAGAAATATTTAATCCTCTAATTATATTTTTTAATCTTTTAATCCTTAAATTTATATTCACCGCAAAAATTATTTTTTTTCTTATCTTGCTAAATATGTTTTTCAAAATATTATTTTACAGAGCAGACTGTATGTGATCCATCCTATAAAATTATTTAAATACCCTTAATTTTATTTTTATATTACTTTTTAGGAATATTTAAAAAATTTTACAAGATAAACTACATACAATCTGCTCTACAGTTTGTTTTGTAAAATAGAATTATTTTTAAAACTTCTCATTCTAAACTTACTAAATTTATCTGTTTGAATTGAACTAATTGCTCAAGTTTATTACAAATTCTAACTAATCTATTTGTATAAAATATTTCTCTATAAAATATTTTTTGAATTATCATATTTTATTAAGATTATAATTCACTTTTTCAAAACTTAAAGGATTACCCTTTCCGTTAAATCTAATAAAATTTTATATAATAAACTATTTTGAAACATTCTTCAAAGTTTATAAACCATTTAGAAAGAAAATAAACTTTCTAAAATAAAATGAAATCAAGCTAATAGTTAATAAACTAAAAATTGAATTAAGTATACACCAAAGAATAGAGATGCCAGACTGGGACTTGGCCTGCTTCCCTAGAGGTTGGATGTTCAATTTCCACCTTCAAAAATTGTAATAGTTCAAAACAACAGCATGATTTCAAAACAAAAACCAAAAGAATTAAACCCACAAATTATAAGAGTGTTTCAAACGTTTTAAATTCAAATCTTAACATTGAGCATAAGAAAAGAAGAGGAATTAATAATCGTGAAGATAGAATTTTGGTTCTTAAATTTTTATTAAATAAATTATTCACTAAAACCAACATAATTTAAGTAATATAAATTATGATTATAGATGTGTAAATCACTTATTCAATGTCATACAATGATTGTAGTAAAGGATCTAATTGAACAATAAAAATTTAAGAGCTAAAATTCTATCCGAACAGATAATTTATTTTATCAATCCAAACTAATTTCTTCTTTCCTCTTGATTATTAAAGAGATTTAAATATATTTTTTTCCACACATAGAGGGATTTAGATATAAATATAAGCCTCGTTGCTTCTTCTAAGCATTTGATTTTCCTTACACACAAGTGAGGCCGTCCCTGTCTAGCTGTCCCGTAGTATAAATTGTAGAATGCAAATTAATGTGGACGGCTGTAAGAGAGAATCTAAAGTCGGCATTATCTAGACCAGCAAAAAAGAAAGAATTAGAGTTGTAAGTGGTTTAATATTCTTTTAACCAAAGTATCACCCACTTCTTGGGAAGAATATGCAACGCAGAAGGCAACTAGTACATTTGTATTTGTTGAAACTTGGAAGACACATGTTTGTTGAACAAATTAATGAAATAAATAATAATATTAAATGAATCAGCCAACAACAATAATCTTGAATCCTTTATTTTAAGCATTCTTTCTTAGTAGTCCTATTTATTGTCCTTTTTTTTTTAAATACTCTTAATTTCTTTGGACATCTTTTTGGAAATACTATTTAGTCTTTATGCAGAGAAAATGTGCAATAAATATGTCAATTTTACATTTTTTTTATTTAAAAAGGGAAATATTTTTTGTTTGACTTTTTTGTACAACCTAACATGTCATTAAAATGATTAATTCTTTTAATTCACATGGAACTAGACCTGGCAAACGGGCGGGTTGGGTCGGGTCAGAACGAGTAACGGGTCAAAACATGTTGGGTTAAAACGGGTCATGGGTCAATGAAAGCAGATCCTAACCGGCCCATCACGGGTCACGGGTCAACCGCAGGTTGACCCAATTAAATTTTTTTTTCTTTTATTTTCTCTATAATTTGTACCTATTATTATTTAAAGAAAATTATTCAAAAGATTTAAAAAAAAATTAACATCTTATAAAAATAATTTTTTTCTATTAATTTAATATGTACATATTTATAGTTTCTCAGAATCACCTTCTTTATTTCCCTTTAAAGAACAACGCTAATCAAATTCAAGAACACTATACTTATAAATCTC